TAATACGTATGTGTGTTAAATATGGGTTCGATTAACCGTATAGTTTCCGATAAATTACCGCTATAGTTTACTCTTTTTCTCGATATCTTACATGGCGCTGACGTAAAAAATAACACGTAAACGTGCATTTGTCAACTGCAAATGACCTACGCTAAGGATTAATACGAAAATTTGGGCAAAATTAATTGAATACTTACAGAAGTACTTTAGTCTCAGCGAAATTGACCGTACATTATTAGAGTATGATTAATCAGCAAAAATAAGTTTGGTTTTTGCTTTTTCGTTCGCGACCATGCTTTGCGGATATGGCAACATTGTATAGCTTGGCGTCGCATAGCGCTAATAGAGATGCGACGTTGCCACGATCTATAGTTCCGCGACTACAACGCAAGTCAGCATACTGTTTTTTTTTTTCTATCATTTTATTTATTTTATCGATTTTTACTATTTTGAAAGAACCAATAGTGTTCAAAAATCTGTTTTTCACTTTCATTGAAAAGAATTCATCGGTTGTTGAACCTTTTATTTAAAATCTAATTTTGACTACCACAGTTGAGAAACACTACCTTAAGGCAATGTTGCATAATAGAATCCGTGTCTCTTTCTTTCTGCGAATACTTGTAACACCCAAACCTATTTTTTTGTTTTGCTCATATTGCATTTACAATTAGCGATGTTAATGCAATTAACTCCACTTTTTGTTTGTAATATTCGTTACTAATAATGCTATTGCATTTTAATAACCACAAATAATGCCGATAATTAATAGACATTTTGTAATGTCTTGCAATTTTTTCTGAATTGTTGATAAATGTCTCGAAATTCAACTGACAGTTCAGCATGCAGTTCAGTATGCAATCAAATTAATCTTACGTTTCAGCAACAACTCATATATTACTACGCATGTGCTCAACGCTTGACGCTCGACGCTCGTCGCTCCTATGTAAAGGCACCTTTACAGTGCACTGCAAAAACACTTCGACGAGTTTGACGTCACGAATTTGAATGTCACTTCCTACTGCGACTACTGCAGCTGGAGAGGTAAAGCAGTGGCAGTAAGGTGGTGCGTTCCCATTTGTCACCTTGCAGCACTTCGACAGTGCTCCAAGTTAAAACGGAACGCTACTAGCAGTTTACTTTTATGACGTCATATGGCTTCTGCACACAGAACGCGATAATGTTTGCCGCGTGGCGAAAGTTCGCGCGACAACCAATCAACATGCTGCTTTCCGTAATAACCTTCTAGTTCTTACGGAAAAACAATATATTGATTGGCTGTCGCGCGGACTTCCGCCGCGCGGCAAGCATTACCGCGTCCTGTGTGCAGGAGCCAATAGCGTCAATAGTCGCAGTAAATAAAGAAACGCACCCAAAGAAATCTTGGTTATCCCTTATAGAAATGTAATACTGATAAGTAATTATCACTGGCCAAATTATTACTTATCAGTATTACATTTCTATAAGGTATCTTTGTTCTGATTATTACCTATTTCTATCAACTTTGATTAACTTAACCGGTTGGTTATTCTAACAGAATTGTCTAATCACATTTCTCATTAGTCAAAATTGACAGATGCGACTGGTCAATTCTGTTGGAATAATCAGTCAGTTAAGTTAAGCAAAGTTAAGGCCATCACACACAAAATTACGTAAGAATTTAAATCGTAAACGTAAAGAAATCGACCAATCCCAATCGAGCACTCGGCTCTTCGTAATCCTTCCATTATTACGAAGAGCCGAATATTCGATTAGGATTGGTCGATTTCTTTACGCTTACGATTTAAGTTCTTACGGAATTTTGTGTATGATAGCCTTTAGTAGAAATGGGCATTAGCCAATTAAATGCCACTCTTACCCGTCGAGCAGGGTTTTGGAACGCAGCCCTGTATGTTGCATAGGCCTGGTTTACATCGTGCACTTGATATGCGTACTAAATAGTGACTTTCTATTAAATAATCTTAATATTGACAATGCATATCAATGATGACGCATTCAATCGATATAATACGTCTTCATAATGAGTATTATACCAGCTTAATATACCGTTGTTTATGTACATCATCGATATTAAGATTATTTAATAGAAAGTTACTATTTAGTACGCGTATCAAGTGCAGGATGTAAACCAAGCCACAGAGCCCTAGTTTATATCGTACACTTGATATGCGTACTAAATAGTAATTTTCTATTAGATAATCTTAATATCGACGATATATATAAACAACGATATATTAAGCTGGTATAATACTCATCAACAAAACATATTGTATTCATTGAATGCGTTGCCGTCGATATGCATTGTCGATATTAAGATTATTTAATAGAAAGTTACTATCTATTTAGTATGCGTATCAAGTGCACGATATAAGCCAAGCTAGAGAACGCGGTAGGTATTCTCCGTTACTACTCATATTCTATGCCTTCGTGAATCCATAGAGGTCTTTTCGCGTTGTGCACGGTTGGTGGTGCGTGTAGCGGTGCGAAGCTCGGCGGAATTGGCTTTCGTTTTCGATTTATCCGGTCTCCAAACGAAATAAAGTCGCGTTCAAGACTCGAATTGAAATCACAATTGACGACGTGATGCTCGCTCGTAACGCGTAAGAAACGGTTACGAACGGGCGAAACGAATGTTCATTATCGATACACCGTCGTACCGAGTACCGTTCGCGCGAGAACTCTACAACAGGCACTGGTCGCCGCACGAACGACACTTCCATCTACGTCGACCGATCTGACTGATTTTTGGGATCCGGTCACCGAAAACTTCCATCATTCCGTCAATAACCGTGTGCCGACCCGCAGGGTGGCGATCGTTCGATAAGGTGAGTATTTCCAGCTAATATCACAGACCAGTAATCGTCATTCTGATTCACACAACGTGCCTGTGACCGGGTTTGATGAGGACGATTGTGTTCACGTAGATATCTTCTTTTCTTGGAAGAATATCTCTTTGCACGTCGATGAATCGATACCGCAGCTAGTTGAAGTAATCGGTTGCGGCTCGCAGTTCAACGATTGACCCTTCAGTGGAAAAATGCGTTTTTTTATTTTTAGGCGCTTGGTTTAATTGGCATTTTATTCTGTTTTATCAAGATATATATATATTTTCTTTCGAAAATATATCAACAATAGACTATTACAAAACGACATATCTTTCACTAGTGAACATTTTTTTATTCTGAATTCTTTTATCGGTGAAAGTGTCTTGAAATGTAGCTTATGAGCTTTCTGATTGGCTTTCAATTATATTCAAAAGCACTTTCATTGATGAAAGAGAATTCAGAATAAGGATATAGTCTTCAAATGACGCCTTTATGGGTCTGTTTTCTATTGCCGAACTGGCTGCACTAGTTCTTGTTCATCTTTTTTCCACTAAATTTTATCTGTCTCTTTTTTAAGTTCTGAAAGTGTATACTAGTTCAGCAATAGAAAATAGACCCAGTATCACGTGCCTAATAAAGAGTTGTCGCGTTTTCTCTGCTGGCTACTGCGGTCATTTTCGATATATTTCTCATTTGAGAATGGTTCTCACAATCATGCCTTTTATTTTGAACGTGTTCTTCGCGTTCGATATGGAGTATCGTTTGTAAAGCGTAACGTTTCTTAATACGTTCGCTACCAGCGTCACATATGTGTAACGCACCGCTCTCTTACTTCAAATTTATTCAAGATTTTCAATTTTAACATGTTCGCTACCCGCATCGCATATATATGACAATAATATTTTTCTTCTTTCTTCTTAATATCTATATATAAATAAACCAAGTCTGTTTAACATAATTGCATAAAAACAAGTGAAATGTGGTCTGTAAATAGAATTCCCTAAATCATAGTAGCGAACATCATGAACTGTGTATTCATAAAAATTTATTTAATCGGTTGCGAGTATGAAATTCTGAGAATTCTGAGAAATGAAATTCCAGAGAATTGCTCAATTATATGTATCAACTAACTTATATAAGGTGAATGTCTTAATTGGTAACAGTTGCATTCATTTTTCTTAATAAATTAGTTAATACAGATCCATATTATCTCCTGAAAATATGTGTGGTCATATTTTAAATTTCATATATTGTCAGTTATAATAGTTATAAGTTAGTTATAAGTTTCGAATAAAATTTAAGAGTGATCCCAGAAAACATAATGTCTAAAATCGGAACATAAGACGTCTTAAAGATAATCTTTAAGACACCTTAAAGACATTTATACGTAAATCGTCAGAAAGACATCTTAAAGATGATCTCTAAGACGTTTTATGTCTCGATTTTAGATATTATGTTGTCTGGGATAGTGAATGCTAGAACATCAAAATTTTACAAGCATACTACTGATAGCGAATATTGAGACAGTTACTCACTGTTGAGAAAGATGTAACTTTTCTCATATGTAGATAAGATACAATTACTTATTGAGATAAATAAATAAATGGGAAAAAGACTTATTTTTTTTTAGATATAGATACAGATATAACAAGGAGACTTTTATTTAGCTAGAAATTTTCTATATCTTAGGTAAATGGTTAGAAAACTATTGTATTTGTTTGTAAAATGGTAGAAAACTTGTCAATTTAATTTGATAAGTAGTATCTGTACATAAACATTGATATTATTCCAAAAAATATTTTTCTAGTCCAGATAGAATTCTAATGTCAGAAGTAAAAGGAGGATAAGAAAGTTAAAAGGAAGAAAGTGTCGATTTTTGCTGCCAAGTGTATATATCTTGAATAGACCTTGAAAAATCATTGTTTGGATCCTCAAATAATAGGAAATAATAATCATTTACCTAAAAAGTGGTGGGAACATTGCTAGAATGGTTTAAGTATAGTAAAAAAAATGACATTGATCACATATGTAATTTTAATAATTGAAAACCATGATTCTAATCTGAATTTGAGTACATTCTGCATGTACAGATCATGGACTTTAGCACTATCCAGGGTGAACGATGAGTAGAGGTACAATCTCAGTCTGGTATCTCTTGGCAAAGATCAGGATTCCACAGTTTATCATTCCCGTGATATTTAGTGACCTTAAATCTGCTGTATATGTATATGGAGAATCATTAGTATCATCAAATTCTGATAAGAGTATTATATTTTCTTATTTTCATGGTGAAAGTGCTTGATAACTAAATAAGATATTTATTTTATGTCATAAATTGGAAATTTATGACATAAAATAAATTGTTACTTTACTAAATAGTTACTAGATCAGTTTCACTTTTGAGAAAATATTATAAATAAAATCTTCCCATAAATTAAAAAAATATAACGTTGTTAACATTTTAAATATTGTGTGTGAAATTGACATATCACTTTGCAGAGGATCACAAACTATTGTGAGAGGATCACAAACTATTAAGAGTTTTGGCTTTCTTGCAAATAATTTTAGTGTTTTTATAAATTAAATAAATAGTTTCGCTCATTAAAGCAGAAAAATAGATTTGAACAAACTGATGTGCCAGATTCACGCTGGATATCACTTTATCCTGCGCGAATTTCACCAATATATTTTATCAAATTTTGTAAAATCTATAATTTTACAAAATTTCTGAAAAGAATTCTTCTATATAAAAGCAAAAAATTAACAATAATAAAAAGTATCCACTATAAGTGCATTGAAAAATTCATCTAAAATAGTTCTCGAGTAGTACTAAACACACTGAAGCGTATTCCAAAGAGTTCTAACTAGCAATATTGTATTGTTTATAAAAAATTAAATTGTCCGAGCACTTTATCAGAATAAAGTGTCAGAATCTGGAAGTTCTAATCTATAAAATGATTAATATGGACATATAAAGCCAAGTTACAGTTATTACGTGTTTAATAAAAAATTAATAAATACACAATAGATGTTTTAACCATTGGATGTGGTCCTCTTCAATAAATGGTATAAAGTCAAGTATAGTCCATGCAATTCGTCAAAGCTAGTGTTGTTATGTTCAAGACGCAAATTCCTTACATCCTTACATTCTTTAGAGTGCCGATGTAAGGAATTTGCATCTTGAACATAACAAAATTTGGAAAAGTTCTGCTTTACCTAATATTTTTCTTATATAATTCTAGGCATATTCTGAAGTAAATTTTGAAGAATTCCAAACGTTAGCTATGTTAGCTGCATTAAAAAATAAATAAATAATCTTAATCAAGCGATACGCTTAGACAGAATGAGGTGATATACTGTCCGAAATCTGAAAGACTTTTAGGAAATCAAAACAACAACACACACAACACAACACAGTTATGATTTCCCACAAAGTAATATACACACTTCAGCTTCATATACACATACATACAAATACACCCCTAAATGTTGAAGCTTTCTAACAAAATCAATTTTGTATACTTAGCTTAACACGTACATTATTAATTTACTTATTTTTACGATGAGGTTATATATCACTAATTATCACATTCATCTTATTTTTCACGGAAAAATTGTTATATTCAAAAATTTTTTCTAAATATACTTCCATTTTATTCTATTTATATTCTTATATTCTATATTTAATTAAATTACTTTTTATATTTATATCGAAGTTTAATTTACATCAAAGTTTATATCAGTTTCCATAGTTTGCATTGTTTTTTATTTGGTTGCATAGAATTGCAAATATCTTTACAGAGGGAAAGTATATAAATGTCAATGCGTTAAAAAATGCACCCTATTATATCAAGAATAAGACAAAATTTTGCAAATGAAAATAAGAAAACAGTGCAACCTATGAAAACTGATTATGTCTGTATTCAGCATCCCCTTAAGTAAGGCTCATTTCTTTCTTCGTGCGCATTTATCCACTTAGCGCGACAAAGTACAAGAATCTAGTTTCCATAGCTTGCAGAAAATAGGTATCGATTTCGCCGAAATATGACGTGCGTGTATTTTGTATGATACAGTTTTTATATACATTTTATACGTGTTTTTTTTATTATATGTGTATTTTTCCAGTAAATATTGACAGTCACTAAGTTAGAGTACATTATATACAACATATGCAACCATACTAACCTTTGTAATGACGATAAGATGTGTTCCCTCGCTTTTCTTTTTTTCTTTCTTTTTTTTTTTATTGTCTCTCTTATTTTGCGCCACGTGTTTCAGCATCAATGTTTGCAGAACGGCCAATACTTTACAACTGATTTACTTATATCTCAAAGCGCATATCTCTTGCGCTATCTTGCTCAGACGGGTATTTCCTGTTCGAACCAGCAGAGCTATTGTTATATTACGTAACTTCTTTGTGCATTAGATTGAGGAAACTAGAAAATTTAATCTCAATTTCAGAAGTAGAAAAAGGAAGAAAGAGATTCATGCACAAAATGATATTATGTGCATTGTGCTTTGTCATTGTGCCGTTCGACGTCTTTTACTTTAGTCCTACCTTTTATGTTAGCAAGAAGAGATCCACTTCATATTTTGCAAATGTATATTTCTGTAACATTGAATCAGATATTATATTTACTTCCTCGTAAAAATTTCCGTACTATTTTCAGCTACTTCGGATACCTTATCAATGTGATATTTATATCAATCTTTGATATAGTATTTTTGATTGATAATGTCGCGACGATTATGTAGATTAGACACGTTATTCCCCAACCCCCACGGTGAGGTGGAGGGAAAAGCCATCTCCATCCTCCGTGCGCCATCCTCCAATGAACTCTGTATCTTGTCCCTCTACTTGAAAATGCAGTGCTATGAACCGTGTTTCTCGTGGTTGACAGATAAGACATCTTGTACGATGCAACCGTGGAACCACGCAAAGACTGGCTGATATTACTTATCTTCCTCGTATAAGTATTGGCCTAAATAGTTGTCTCAGGCTCAGTATCGTTCTGGATTCTCGCCAATCTGAACCTCATCGTTGTCTCGCGACTACCACGTTTATAGTGTATTAATTAAATTTCTTCAATAATTTATAAAACATTTGTACCTTACAATTGTGCATGAGACACACGAGCAACTAGAATTTTCAAGATAAAATCTTTGAGTGGTTGCATTGTTTGGTGTATGCGTTGTACAAATAAAAAAACGAGAATTATTCGCCAACGTCAGGTAAGAAAGAAATCTGTATTTTATTGAGTTGTAATCACCATTGACTTTTTATAAATTATTCTATAAATTATTAGTGGTAAATTGTTATTTTCTTTATTGTCTTTCTTATTTTACGACACGTGGGTAATTATTTGGACAATGCACAAGCGAGTATTAAATTCAGATATTATTTATTTGTGACGCTACACAATGACTGCAACAGAACAAATTTCATTCAGAGCATATTTATTCTGAATACATGCGGTGACAAACAAAATTGAACGTATAAAATAATTGATATTCCCTCTAGTTACACGCATTTTATTGAAGTAGATATTGGTTTCAAATTTATTCAAGTCAGATTTAGTTTGCTCTGATAAAAGTATGATAAGATAAGTAGTCTGATGGTAAAATTATTTTAGTACGTTGTATAATTTATCTAACACATATATATATATATATATATATATATATATATATATATATATACATATATATATATGTGTGTGTGTGTGTTTAAATACGTTGAAATCTGGAACAGAACCTGCCCCTTCTTTCTTAAAATATTGTGCAAATTATTGTACACTTTAAAGTTATACTTTCGATTATATATGTATACATATATATAATTTAGGTTTCATAAAACAGTTTGAACATTTTTTTTATACTGTTTGAAACGCAGCTGTTGCTCTCTAATAAAAGAATTTGTTTTTATTCATTTCCAGAAATTAAGTTATCTCATTGGGCTATTAGCTACGTTCTTTAAACTGCATCGAGGAAAAGATGTTCAAACCGCTTTAAAACCCAGTATAAATTTCTTTCAAATATGTATTGTACTAACACCTAGCTAGAAAAAACTCGTCGAAGTATTATTTCGACTAATGTCGAAAGTTGTTGATTTAAAGTTTGTGTGGATGTTTTGGTATTTTTGAACAATAAAAGTTGCTTTGCTTGAACAGAAAATAATAGAAGTTTTGATTTATTTTTCTATATTTTGTGTATATATATTTGATACTCTATTTCATATTCTATTCATTTTTTTCTCATTTAAAAATCGTATCGGCGTTGTTTCGATGTCGTCTTGATATTTGACCTCCGTAAACATATTACAAATCTATCATCCGATTTTACACAACGTTTTGTTGTTCGTCAATACCAAAGTTTCAACACACAGTTTCAATTCCGAATTGATAACTCTCGACGTCGAAATAATGTCGTTTCGACGAATGATTTGACTATTCGTTATATATTCAGAGACCAATGCAATGTTATAGTCTTGATAAATTTAATGCAATAGTGTTTGCTCAAATTAAACATTTTTTCTCTTTTGACAGGGTTCTATCTGCGCTAGGCTGGTAGGCCAGTCTGCTGGTGGGTGCTCGAATAACTGCGGCAACTGGAAGTTGGCCCTGAACGCAGAGCCCCCGTGGCTTTGCTAGCACCCCCACAGTGATCTTGTCTTAACCCGCTTCCCCACGACTCACCCAATTCGCATTGACAGCTGCCTCGTATGTTATGTTTTCCTTTTTTATGCTAAATTTATTCTAGTTATTAATACGCAGATAATTAATGGGATGCCATACTTAAAAATTTTACTGACGAAGTATTGATTCTTAGCTTATGGCAAAGTTTACGGCGTATTGGTTACACAGAATTACAAATGCTTGCACATAATGAACCATACTTTTATTAAGTAAAAACATTTATAATTTTGTGCAAGTAATATGATGTAAGCTTTGTAGAGAGCAGTCAGTATTTTGTTGGTAAAATTTTCAACTTTGCATTTCTTGAGGAAAATTTTATTGAAAATCTATAATTCACGTTATATATATATGAGTTTTCAGTAAAACTTCCTTCAAAAAAAATATTTTAGAATGCAACCTAAGTGCATGACATTCTTTTAATGATAGACTTTCGAGTCACTTTGAAGTTCTTTTTTTTCTTTATCATATCTTGAAAGTTGAAGAATTTAAGTTGTTTCAGATATCTCCGTGACCCGGAATTTACTAGAGATTTTAAGTTATTTTTATATACTTATTATGTACGACTCTCCTCACAATTTATGTGAGAACGTAGAACGGATTGAAGCGAATATAAAAGTCTCATACCGTTTTGCGATATTCGTAATAATAGCCGAGATATTAATTAAAGAAGATTGATGTAAATGTCAAATTGAATAAAAAATCCCTTTATTATCTTGCAAATAATCACGTAGATTTTTAGTTATTAATAAAAGAAAATTATTGTGCATGATAATACACAAATCTTCTTTAATTAATATTCAAAATCTATGTGATTATTTGCAAAATGATAAAAAAACTTTTTTATTCAGTTTGATCTAATAAGTATATAACAGCCATTACAGCTCATTTATCATATATCGCGTGTGATCTTTCACTAATCTTCTTTAATTAATATCTAGAGATTTATTGCGAATATTGTAAGATGGTATGGGACTCTTATATTCACCTCAATTCATTCTACGTTCTCACAAAAATTGCGGAGAAAAGTCTGGGACATCCTATATATGAAGTCAAGTACACACATAGATATACGGAAGAATTTTTGATATATTGGTTATCATGATATTTACTTCTTAATATATATATATATATATATATATATATATATATATATATATATATCGTTTATATTGATTTTGATATTCCTTGGGATTTCAGTTTGCTGCCTAGCACCTACAGAGTATCAATTAATTTATCGAAATTAATCAATATGAAGGATATAAATTTAAACAAACGCATCCATGTGTTGGACCACGAATCCAACGTAATGACCGTCATAAAAGATATTGCAATGAGCGGTTTACAAGAAGAAGCTTTTTACGTGCTGGATATAGGAGATATTGTACGAAAACATCAAATTTGGAAAGAAAAATTGCCACGAGTTGAGCCCTATTACGGTAAGCGAATAACGTTAGAAATTTGTATTATGCGAGATGTAGAAAAATTTTACTTATATAAGCTTTCCTTCTTATTCCAGCTGTGAAATGTAATGACAATTTAATCGTAATCGAAGTATTAGCAGCTCTTGGTATCGGTTTTGATTGTGCTTCCAAGGTAAATACAAATAAACATTTTTTCTCTTTCTCTTCTTTTAATCTTTTATTTATTATTTATCGATAAATATACTTCTTTCTAACAAGTTTTACTTCAACAACATATGCTAACTAATAAGCTTTATTTTATTAAAAGATTATTGTGTATAATATCTTTCTACTCTACAGGGCGAAATAAATAAAGTTTTAAGTGTTGGGGTGGATTCTTCGAGAATTATTTTTGCTAATCCGGCCAAACCAGCTTCACATATTCGTCATGCTGCTGCAATGAGGGTGGAAACCATGACAATAGACAATGAAAGCGAACTGCACAAAATCAAGAAACTCTTTCCAATGGCAAAGGTAGTATATTGCTGCGTATATTTTCCTGTACTTCATTTATTATAATTACACCATTTACAGCAGTAACCCTTCTTTATTTTAGATCGTTTTGCGAATTCGTTGTGATGCGGAGGTAGCTCAATGTCCGCTTGGCATGAAATTTGGTTGCGATCCCATAAACGAGGCTCCTAATCTTTTACGTCTTGCACGTGCGCTGGGTCTCAATGTAATAGGTATCAGCTTCCATGTTGGATCAGGATGTCAAGATCCACCGGTCTATCATCGTGCTATCCGCCATTCCAAAATATTATTTGATATAGCTACCGATCTCGGCTTTAAACCTTACCTACTAGATATTGGCGGGGGTTATCCAGGTAACAAAGACACAAGCATTGACAAAATGGCAGACACTATCAACAAAGCGCTTGATGAATATTTCAATAGTAAGTTACACTAGGCTGTTTTATTACAGTCACGATTAAGACATATTTTGCACTTGAAATCGCAACTTATAAGTGAAATATTTTTAGCTGATGCTGTTCACGTGATCGCTGAACCGGGCCGTTTCTACGTAGCATCTGCATTCACACTAGCAACAAGCATCCACAGTAAACGTTCTGTACGCGGAGATGAGAGTTCTTCTGGCGCTATTACGCACAATATGTATTACATCAATGATGGTGTTTACGGATCGTTTAATTGTCTATTGTATGATCACCAACATGTAACTCCTCTTCCTCTTAAAGTAAGTTGCTTTATTGAAGAAAGTGCAAAAGTATCGACAGAATATTTTTTTTTACTTTAACTACAAATGCCACGTATGAAACGTGTTTCGTTAGGATGGCTGTGGAAAGTTGATTCCATCGAGCATCTGGGGTCCAACGTGTGATGGATTGGACAAAGTCGTCGAGAATATCTTATTGTATGACATGGAACTTGGCGATTGGATCCTTTTCGAAAACATGGGTGCCTACACATTGCCTGTTGCTTCACCATTCAACGGATTCCCGGTGCCTAAAGTGCACGTTGTTGCCGATGAAAGCATTTGGTACGAAAATTTTCATATTATTCAATATGTCTTATGCATTTCATCGTTAGGTCTTTGTTCCTTTTTCTTCCTAATAAAGAGCCGAATGATTTCATCTGGACATTTCTTGCAGGCTTTTACTGAAGGATGTTTTGCCATTAACTGAAGATCATTTTGTCATTGGCAATACCCCAGCTAACTTGCGACTTGGTTTGGATATTGCAGGGAACGATATCGATCCATGGATGGACGCTGATCGACAAATAAACTTAGCACCGGCTGAAATATTAGCAGACGCTCCTAATACAAAGTCATCTTTTATGTTCGAATATGTTGAGGTGGATCCTTTGAATTAACCTTGTCTCACATCAATGATTGGTTTCTCACAAATAATTTGGGAGATATTTGCATTTTCCAAAGTTGACGCGCATTTTTGCAACTTTCACTATATCAATCCTTATTTATCTTTTTCTCGTTTTTTTCAATTTGATAATTAAATGATAAGTATGCAAAGGCTCAAATAGTGAAATTTTATAGAGAATATCTGAATTAAGGTGTCGCAACACAGATAGAACTCGTTAAATTGAATACAAAGATTTACCATTCTTGTAAATAGCAATTATTGATATTAATTACAGAAATTTAGACAAATAAACATTATGCGGTAGGACGAGCTCTGTAGGTAATCTGAAAAGACATACTTGGGTTTGTTGACTGTCTCCTGAGCAGTGATGGGTATCTGATTACTGCGAAATGAAAAATAACTTTGTGAGCAGCAAAACGCTTGCTCTATTGGACCGTCTATTTTGCCATTGCTAGAAGGTCAGGAAACATATTTAAGACATGTTTTTTTCAAACTGCCTTACAGAATTTGTTCCACAGTATCATACACATTAATTGATATCTCAACATTCTTTAATATCTAAAAATTATCGTAGTTTGCAAAATGATAGGCTTTTCTGTTCAGTTCGATGAGTTTTTTCTGAATATAAGTGTTGCACATAAGTCTAAATATCTTGTATCTTGTTCCTTCTACGAATTTTCTTTTTCTTATTTCTCTCGAAAATATTGTCTAGACGAAGAGCATATCTAGATATGTTGATTTTTAATCTTGACGTACATTTTTTATGTAAACTGTTTCATATGAATAATGTTTGAAAATTTTTTCACTTATTTCTATTGAAAATAACTTTAGAGTAATAATTGTGTAAAATGCAAATTTTAAGTAGATTATTAAGAGTGGTCCCTTTCCGACATTACTAACGAAGAAATTACTTCTTGCATTATTAATATTCGTGATTGTCGATATTTCTGCCATTGCATGATACACAGAGATATCACGATAGATATTTAATCGCATATTTCTCTGTGCATACATTATGTGTTATAGGGCGTACTATAGCTTCCACATTTATAGATGTAGAAATCGAGATTTCAGAGAGAGGAACTATTTGCTAATTTTTCTTAGAAAATTTTTTACAATTTGCACATTTAATGTAGAACAAGAACTATAATCCATTTTAGTATAAATTATACACATATAAAATATATAAACGTAATCTAATTGGAAAATTTTGTTACTCTCTCTTTCTCTCTCGGTATCTTACAGAAGAAACATATTGGCCATAAGTAGTAACAATTTATAAACCTGCTTTTATTTAGTCTCATATTCCAAACAAATACAAGATAAGGAAATAATTTCTTAAGTTTTGGGCATTACTCGAGGCAAGTTAATCTTCTTCTATGATTAATATTTTACGATATAAACAAAAAACAAAAGACTTCGTTAAAATATTAAGATGACACGTACAACATATGTACTATATATTATAAGGAACAAATGTATTTCCTGAAATTCTTTTTGCTATATCAAGCAAACATAGAAACTCTGTAGAATTGCTAGGAACTTTACGGCATTGAGGCAGCTGTCACAAGATTCAAAGGCAATTGATAATTTCTTATTATTATTCTGATTGTATTATATGTCTACTATATTATTATTCTTATTACTATTACATTATATATTATTAATATTATCATTTAATTATGATTAATCGGTTAATAAATGTAATGAAATATATAAGATCAATATGGATATTTTTGGATATTACACTTACACCATCATTTTAACAATCTATTCTGGCACTTTAACAATCATTCTGGCGAGTCTTTGTTAAAGTCACGTTTAGTACATGTATAAGAGACACAGAAGATATTTTTTAGTCATAGAACCCTCATATATATTTTTTAACTTTTTTGTCGTGATACTAAGTTGCAAATATTATTTGATATATATGTCTCCGTATAATATAACAATTTTTAACGCGACTAACGCTTAGGATTGCTGATTTAATTTTGGTAGGGACTAAGTCCCAGAAATTTCTTTGAATCTGCACATGTAAGAATTCCAGCAGCTAACTTTGAAAGAATTATAGCAGGTACACAGGTTTACTTGCGAGGTAGATAAAGCGGGTAAATCGTGGATAACGGATTTGCAGCGGCGTGGTTAGAGTAAAAGTATGGTAGAGTAATGGTAGAGTATGACCTTTTCATAATCCTTACCGAAGTCAGTTTATCGTGCCGCGTGTAACAAAACGTGATTTCCATTTCACGATATAAACCCACGTGCGGTGGAATAAAGCCTGAGGGGAAATGTGAATGTATAATATCATCAACATTGTGAAAAACCCATCATTAGCCCGTTATTCAACTGGTAATAACATGGTATATATACTATAATTTTACGTGTAACAATATGACGATACTTATATGTCGAGTGTAAGAGAGAAAGAATGCCTATTTCTACTTTTACATGAAATTAAATAATTGTACGTGGTTTCGCGTACAATGAATCGCAACACAGCAGCTCAAATGATGAATTATCTCGGAAAAAAATGCTAGTGTTTATACAATTTCGCACTCAAAAATTTTTATATTCGTATCAACATCTCAAAATCTTTTAAAGTTTCACTCCATAAATTTACCTTTTTGTTTTTATTCTATGAATTAATTTCTATAATAAAAATATTCATTAATGTAGTTAACATAATGTACACGTTTTCTTCTGTAATCAAGAATTGAAAAGATATCGCGCGACACTGATTAAAAGAAGGAGAGAGAAGATTAATTTTGATAAAAAATATCTAATCAAAGGGATGAAATCTGATTATTAAGCTTTTAATCGCTCGCGAACGAATAAGACTAAATGATCGATGGATGTGTAAATAACTCCAAAAATTTGCAATGATAACATGAAAAAGAAGAAGTCTCAAATGTAATGTAATTAACACATTGACGAGTAGTCAGCACATACACACGACGTTATAGATAAACATTTATTAAATCGAGGGTTATACAATTTTCAACCTTACATATAATACTTGAAATTGAAAAGCGTATAAGTAATTCTAATTGTAATAATAGGATTATAGTAACGTTAATTATCGATTTTAATCTTATTATTTTAATTTTAAATAATTACGATTTTAATCTTATTATTTCTTATCTTATTATTTTTTCTTATTTTTTTCTTATCTTATTACTTATCTTATTTCGGGACATAAAGCCGAAAATCCTGTAACTTCTGATCTAAGTTCAGGCATACATGACGTCGTGTGTAGTACGTGTCTTGCTTACGCGACACAGCTGAGTAAACGAACACATTCGACCCAAACGTCGTTATCGTAATTTCTAGCGCGGTGTCGGAGACATGGAAATTATATGAGACACAGTGGATGCTGTATACGCAAAATGAAAAAAGGAGGAAATAATAAGAAAGGCAGTGAGGAGACGGATATTAATGCAAATGTTCGACTCGACATTTGATTCAAGATGCGACTTCGTGCAACTAGGAACAATCAGGTGATGTCTCGTGACGTCGATTAAAGAGATTGTAAGACAAGATGAGTTCACTTTCACTACGTCAGATAGCACAAAACGTCTCAGAATCATTTTGAATGTGTTCACAATGTTCTGAGAAATGCTCTAGAACATTCGGAGTACATCCAAGATAATATCAAGACGCGCGTCCGCGTGTTTCGTGCTATGTAGAGATACATATAAATTTAAATATGATCTGACTACTCATATAATTTAAAAAAAAACATGACTATCCGAGAATTGAGATATATAAAAATAAAGTTGACAATTTTTTATACGTGTTCCTTGAAGCGTGCTATTTTTAATTTTAATTTTTAATTTTTTGTAAATATTTTAAAATTAGGGTTTTAATATGAGAGAAACTATGAGAGATATTAGAAATTAATATATCGACATTATACATAAATTTCAGAATTATTAATTGTTTTGTTTGAAAAATATGGCGGTAGAAAGTTCGTAATTTATGGTAATACTCGAAATAGATATACATATACACACTGTAAACATTTTTATATTAAATTTAATATATTTCATATGCCTCAGTTCATCCATCCTAATTTTTGTGTTAATTTAATGCAAGATAAAAATGTAAATAAATAATAAATATGTTGAAAATTAACACGAAAATATAACTTGCATACTACTCCGTTATTTTAAGACTTGAAAATGATGAATATCAATACAGAATAACCAAAATAACGCAACAATAATATATTAAATTAATATATAGGTAAGTTAAAAATTGGACATTAAAAATTGGACAAGAATTTTTATACGGGTTGATTTCAACACTGATATAAAATTGTTTACCGTGGACGTATTTAAACATTTATACATTTATATACTATTATCTATACATTTCTATCAGGTCAACTGATGTACAAATGAAGTATTGGTAAGAAAAATAAAATAATATTTTTACTTGTGATATCCATCTCAACTGCATCTAAAATTAATATTTATTACTTGGATAATAAAATTAATGAATAGAAACGTAATTTTGTTCGACAAATAGTAAGCTTATGAGTAGTCCTCTTAATGCGTCATGGTAAAAATACAATACTGAGCCTTACAACCTCCTTAATATGTCACGCGGTGAAAAACTGAAGTGTGATAATTGAGGGGAAATCTCGTTTCAGATAACACAGAATTACTTATTCGAAAAATGACAAACGAATGGATCACTCCTTTTTTTTTAACTCTCGTTATCGGGTCTCGTGCAGAGCATCGTAAGGTTAAAGAAATTGTGAATTGCGCATTGTTTATGTACGTATACATTATTTACGCTACGTCGCGAAATCGCAGCCGGAGATTTCAACCGGCCAAGGTTTTGGACGGTGCACACGCGGCGCAAGCGAGCAGGCAGGCAGGCAGGCAGGCAGGCGAGCAGACAGTCATGGTCCCCGTTATGTATTGTGAAAGGTAGAGACTGCAGCTTTATTAGTAATGCGCTGCCTAACCGGATGGTTACACAACAATTACTAATCTCCCTATATATAAAATTATTGTTTACACGCGGGGCCGTCACAATATTTTCGTCCGAGTCGGGCAGACTGTATGTCGAAAAACAAATTAACGAAAACGAGTGTATAGCTCAAAAACTCACCAAACGACAAACAACGAATACACTTTCGCACGAAAGTTAATTTATTCGTCAGCGATGAAATAAATCTTTATCGCCTACGCGCATTCGTGAACGAAATTCATTCGGACGAATATGTTTATGCTTTTGTTAAACTATGTATTTTTTATGATTTTTCGCCGTTCTCGATGACGGAAAGTTTCCATGTTTGTGGATTAGGTACTTATTGCTTCGTTTAATTGGCATATTTTTTACAGATTATAATACGAGCCTGTAAAAACGACTCTGGCACGATTCGAGAGAATTACGTTCCTCGCGGCTGCTTCCCCGGCTGTGCACAGTGAAATCTTTTTACGAAATTCCGTGACTCGCGCGGTTCGATCGATATTGCGAGATCGCATTAGAAATTTGGTTCTGCGGGGACTCGTAGGAACGACTTCCGGGTTTTGTTATCGAAATTCGCTGGCGGCTGACGGTTCGATAGCAGTAAGAAATCAATGGTATAACGTTTCGCAATCATAAATCATAAAGGCTGTTATATATCGTGATAACGACGATAAGAATGTAATCGCAAAACTCGCAACATCTGAAAAACTAAACGTCTTCGTTGAATATATTCAATCGATTGTCTCCCCTCAAAAATGCGCGTGACTGGAAAAAGGAGAGATTTGCACGTTATTATACGTTATTATACTCGAGATATAAAATAATAACGAGATTAATCGGTTACGTAAAAGCAACCGGAAAGAGGATGAAGAAGAAGAAGAGGAAGCCCGCGGATTTCTTTTTACTTCATATCCAGCATCGCGAGCGAGCTGTGTACTTTCACTTTCGTAATTAACGTGGATGGCTGTAGCGCGCGGATGGTTTGTACGCGTTCCTAAGAGCCGAATGTCCGACGAAAGACGAAAGAGAAGGGGGGAATTGGAGGTAACGCGGATTTCCCCATATATGCAGATTACACTCGACAGATTCACAATCGGGCGACTCTCGCGGTGTGCGATTACTGCTATTTTCACCAATGTCGCGATAATTACGGCCACTATGCCGCCCCAGGATACGTGAGCCTGGCGCGAGTTACGTTTCCACTAGGCGCAACTCCTGGTAACGCCGGCCTCGGACTTCCTCGCCGTCCCCTTCGGCTTGGATAACATATAATAACGGCTATGATACAAGGCGGTGCATAGTCGATTTCACTTTTAGCCGGACTCACGCCAAGGAGCCGCTGGCTGCATCTCCTTCTCTTCGCTCCGCTCCGTCTACATTCCCACTTTCCGCGAGGTGCTTTGTCTTTCTCTCGATCGTGACGGCGCGCTTCGCCTCGTCCTCGTCCTCGCGCGATCGGCTCGAGTAGTTAGTGGGTTTCCTCACCGCGCCGCGAATATAAGAATTCATCGGTGATATTCCGCCGGTCATGGAATCAACGCTGAAATCATAATCGTATTCTGCACATGAACTGGATTAAGGGGTTTCTCACTTTTAGATGCCTGACAAAATATTCAGGAATTTTTTTTGGATAAACTACGCAACGCATCGACTTCTAACTTGGCATATTTGTTATATATATATATATATATATCGTAAAATGTTAATTTTAACATTTTTTACACGTCTCAGAAAGTCCAATTTTAATTTCGTGTATAAATAACTCATTCATAATGTGTTATTTATCAATGAATTATAAATGTTAATTAATTGACACTCATTATTTTAAAATTGTAGTGCGTTCGTATTGTAAACCTTGAGTTTTTATTATCAATAAAGAGGGTTTATGATTGAGCCGAAACGTCTGATTATTTATATTAATTACTCATGTTCAATAAATATTACACGATTTCCTAACACAAGGAAGGTTTTACCCATATGGTACATAGCACTATTAGTCCTGTGCTTGAACTCGAATTGCCCCTTTTTCCTATTTTTTGATTGATATCTTCGTTTGTGAGTTCTTATTTCTTTCTCTAAACTCATTATTTTCTTACATTTATGCTTGTTATTTTGACTTTAAGCTCAATTGTGAAAATAACATAAGGAATAGTAAAAAATATACGGAAGAATAGTTAAAATAACTCGTAAAGGAATGTCAACAGCACATTTTTGTTCCTATAATATGTATACAAAGATGAACGCGTTATAACTTATTTTTCATATTATATTACCATTTGATGTTAATTACTTTAACATAACTTATTCATGATAGAAACATTTTCTCTTAATAAATTTGGTTATTCTATATGTTATATAAAGTTTACAATAATTTGTAGACTCGCTTTTTAATTCTTATTAATATAATATATTAAAGTAACTTTTAAAAAAATGTTATTCTTTTATAATTGTATTAAAAAATTCAAAATAATATGCCATTTCTAAGTAACATATAAAAAATGTTAAGTTATGAAGTTGACATTAATACAATACACTAAATATCACAAAAATAAGAACATATCGATAATATGTTAATTTTACATTAAAAAATATCAAAAAATAAGTAACATGAAAATTTTAACATTTGTATGCAAAATTTCTAACTTTGCAAGTACAAGGTAATATAAAAAATAAATAGTTGTTCAGAAATGCCGCATCTAACATTTTCAACACGTCTTTCTCGAAATCATGTTTTCAAACCTAATATGCAAGATTTCTCGAAGACTATTGAATCAAAATTTCATAATAAAAAAGATTACTCTGATATCAATTAGTATGTTAAGAGTCTTTAAAAGCCTATATATATAAATATACAATAGTATAAAAATTTGCTATATTTAGTAAATCTGAAATATGATTTATTAATATTATATTGATTTTATTGATTATATAATACCTGAAAAATATTTTTAAAGTCAAAAACTTTTCGCGCTTTTATTCGGACTCTCTTCAATAGTAAATAAAAATACACAAGTAAACATAAGAATCAGATAATCAACAATTTTGTACTATTGTCATACAAACGAGATAACAAATTAGCAAATCGATGAACATTCATTTTGTTAATCACTGAAGAGTGTTCAGATGGAACCGAAATGTATAGATTTATGATCAATAAAATATAGATTTCTTGACTTTCAAAATATTTTTTCAAGTTTATCTTAATTTTATGGCATAACATTTATTTCTACAACATTCATATATAGATATTTAAAGGCTTTTGACATACTGTTAATTGATCTCAAACTTACCACATATCTTCAGTACAAGTGTAGAAGCTACATATCTCGAATTTTGCGGAAAATTGAAAATTGACGAAACAGTGTCAGTGCAAAATGTAAGTTATCTTTCTCACAGAAAAAAGCAACTTTTTCTCACAGAAAAATTCTTCACAAAAAATTCCTCGCAGAAAAAAGCAACTTTTCACATAATACAAAGATATTAAAATTTTAGTTTTATTTATTAAAATAATTTATTTTTATATATTTAATTTATTGAAATTAAATTTAAAATTTCAGAGAATTCGAAGTATATGCTTATATTAAAAATATGTAGAATGGTTGAAATCAGTTATTTGAACAGTCTTTGAGAAATTTTGTAAAACAAATTTAAAGACATGATTTTGAGAAAAAAATTTCCGGAGTATGATTATATGTTTAATGTTCCTTTATGCTTATATAATAAATATGCCAAATTACAAATTGTAGCCTGTTTTTGAGCGTCTACAAAAAATGTTAAGTTATGAAATTGAATTAATACACACTAAACATCACAAAAATAATAACATATCTGAATATGTTAATTTTACATTGAAAAATAGCAAAAAATGAACACATGAAAATTTTAACAGGTAAAAGGCCCCTTGAGAATCAATTACAAAATATATATAGAGTGTTTTTCTTTCTCAAGAGCACGATCGTTATTTTATCCTTTTCTTATAAGACTACATAAAATATTATTTTGAAAAATGACGATCTCTTCCAACGAGCTGTCTTGAGTTTCTTGCATCCGTTATGAAATATTGTGTACATAGTACGCGATGTATAATAATGTATCCGCGACGTATCAAAGTTCACGTCAGGACGTAAACTCACGGCGCACTGCGAGAGAGCGCGGGCGCGGAACAATTCGAGCACAACGTCGAGTTACACGTACGCGTACATATACCACGCGAGTAACGCGATATATAGGTTCACGAAGTTAAAGCAGAAATTAGGAGCGAACCGTGTCCCCTTTCTCTTGCCAAGCCAAGCGTGATATAAAATACTTTCCCTCTCGCGCGCGCTTGAGACGGAATAGGAGCGGAGAGTCGAGCGCTCGCGCGAGAGAGGCTAGGCAGACAAATGGACAGACAGAGAAAAAACGAGAAAGGCAGGGGAATAGAGAAAAGGACGAAGAACATAGAGGTAGACCCGCGCCTCGTGCGAGAACGGAAAACCGGAAAACGATCGGCGCTAAAAGCCTGCGTCGTTTCCTTACCACTCCTTCGCGCTTTTTTTCCTTCTTTCTTCTATCCGTTGTCTTTCCCTTTCTAGTTGGTACTCGACACCCTCGTCATTGTACATACTCGACTCATACATAGAGTGGTCCTCGACATCAAGTGGCGAGACATTGTCGAGAAAACGTGAATCAATTGACTTTATTATTTGCTATCGAATGCCGCTGACTGAAAATCAAATCCACATTGCAAATAAAGTCTTGTATATAATAAATAGTTAACAAATCTTTTAAATAAATAGTTAAATAGTTAAAAAGGTAAATAGTTAAAAAGTCTTGTAAATAGTTAACAAATGCATTCAGTTGAGCGTTTCAGTGCAATATTTTGTAATTAGTATCAGATATGGCAATATTTATCAATAGTCTAGGAATGATTACAAAATAATAAGTAAAACAAATTTAAATATAATTGTACTAATTTTTTTTTGCTAAATAAAGTATCAAATAATTTCGTAATAATTATTAAATAGTTTGACTGTTACCAAAGTATTTGTATTTCGTATATTTATCACATAATGTGATAAATATTAATATGGTCTTATTTTACAAATTATTTGATGATACGCACCACATCAATTGCTAATAATCATCACCCGTAATAGATATTAAGTTTTGCCAAGGTTATTTGTTAATATTTAATAAATTATTTGATTATATTCACTTACACACTACATATACATATCTACATATCTACATATACGTATCTATTTATATGTATGTTTATATATATTTCAAGTACTTTAAAAGTATTTTAAATTTGAATTGGAGTGATTGAAAAATTTCAAAACTCTCAGCAAATGACGTCAAATGACGTATTACTATTCATATATATGTATATATATATATATATATATATATATATATATATATATATATATATATATATATATATATATA